CCTGGTCACGGCCGACAAATGATCTTCCAGTGTCAGCCGTGGATCCAGGAGGACACCCAAGTTGCGTGCCCTCTCTGAGGGGGCCAAAGTTTCGCCCCCTATAGACAGCGATGGAATCAGCTGACTATGCCGGGGCGCCGGCAACCACAGCCACTCGGTCTTGGAAGGGTTGAGTCTGAGTCTGTTCCTCCCCATCCAGGCTATTCTCCAAAGCACCTGAAGGCAGGACAAGAAGCAACGGATGGAAACTAACCAAAGAGAGAAGCAACCTAGAACTAAAGAGAAACTTCCTGACAGTTAGAACAATTAACCAGTGGAACAACCTGCCTCCAGAAGCGGTGAATGCTCCAACACTGGAAGTTTTTAAGAAGAGACTGGACAGCCATTTGTCTGAAATGGTATAGGGTTTCCTGCCTGAGCAGGGGGTTAGACTAGATGACCTCCAAGGTCCCTTCCAACTTTGTTATTATATGTCCAGTTGGGAGTGAATCTAAGGGGTAATTGCTCATCACTATTTCTTAGCTGAGGGAGCCAATATTGTCTGAAGATATTTCCAAGGTCATGTGGCCTACATGACTATACATCAAGGTGCGCGGAATGCTGTTACCTTCCCACTGAAGTGGTACCTATTTATCTACTTGTCTTTGCATGCTTTCTGCTATGTGGGCAGCAGCTGGAGCAAGAATGGGAGCTCACCCTTTCGTGTGGCACTCTGGTCTTGAACAGCCAACCTTCTGGTTGACAAGCTCGGGGTCTTAACTGCTAGGCTACCATGAGCCTTTATTTTTTAACTTAAACTGGGATCTAATTCCCTGCAACTTAAGACCATTTTTGTTGCTTTTGGGCGGAGAATGACAGAAGATTTATGGGATCAAGATCTCTTGACCTTCTTCTATGTATGTTCATTTTAAGTACTTGAAAATACTATCATATCCCCCTCTTAAAGCTGAACATCAAGTCTCTGATTATAAAACTAAGTTTTTTTTGTCTGTGCACATCCCAGGTGGAAGCGCAGCCACAGGAGAATGTCCTGAACATTATATGTATTCTCCACACAGGAGGGGCCAATAAAGCCAAGAGGCTACAGGTGTTCAGCAGAGTCCTTTATGTGCCTTCCTTCCCAGAATCAATGTAGTAGATCACCGATTCCAAGGAAGGCAGGTGCATAAGAATTTCTAAGCAAATCCATCCATTAGAAATGAATTCTCTGGATCTATGAAATTTGTTGTTAAAATGTGGCTGTTGTAGTTCATCTCTCATGCTTTCCCTTTGGGGCTTTATTAAATGTAATGTTTAAAAATATCTTTATAAGGAAGCAAGGATTCTCATGCTTGTTTGAGATCCCTTCAGATGGCAACTCGTCTTGGTTCAGCCAAACACTAGCAGGTATGATTAGTGCTTGATGGAAGAATACCATGAAATTTTAAAGCTGTAGGCTAGGCTGAGATTCAAAAAAAACCACAACAGCAGAAGGCAACAGGATAGGAAAAATGTAAGACGGTTGTCTAACATGGGGGAAATGTGGCTTGAAGTAGTACATGTGAAAGGGCTCTGGATGTCACAATGATGCAGCTAAGAAAGCAAATATGGTCTTGGAGTACCTTAATAGGAGCCGAGAATCCAGATTATTGAAAGTAATTCTTATACTCTACTCTGCCCTGGTCAACCCCTATTTGGAGAATTATGTCCAGTTTGGGGCACCATCATTCAAAAAGGATAGTGACAAACTGAAGCAAGATCTGAGAAGGATTATCAAGATGAAGTGCAGTAAGCCCTGAAACTCTATGAGTAGTAACTATTGTTCAAGCTCTTTAAAGAATAGTTAAAGGATCTGGGTATATTTGGCCTAGAGACCTGGCCCATAGAATTGCCAAGAGTTGGACAGGACTGAATGGATAACATCATCATCACATCTGGCCTACAAAAGACATGACTGAAGAGAGGTAGAGAGTTGTCTTCAAATGTCACATAAAAGGGGGAGAAGAGGGAGGGCCAACAGTGTAAGGAAGGCAGTCAGGAGAAACTTTCTAACTATTGCATCAGTCAACTGTCCTTCTCGGAAATGCTGTAGTGGACCTGCACCCAGAGGGAGATTTGGATTAAATGACTTCTAAGATCCTTCCATTTTGTCTCCTAAAGCAATTACGCATCATAAACGCAAGGAATCAGGTAATAATAAAACCGATTGTAAAGCACCTGCTTATCTCAGCCCGAATGGGTTCCAGATTCAGTTTCCTTTCCCACAATCAGGAAATTCCACCGAAGACGGAATACGAAGCAACACCACGGGGCTAATGAATGAATGAATGAATAGCCTGTTTTGCGCTGCTTCCCGAATTGGGGAACCAGAAGCGAAAAGGCGGCAGAGCAGACGCGCCCCCCTTCCCACATTTCTCCTCGGATCGTCCTTTGCAACGCTCCGTTTTTCTCCCACCAAAAGATCCAGCGGGGGATCTTGCAAGAGGCCGGACCCAGGTGGCAGCCGCGGAGGCCTCCCGCTCCTTCCTCTCGCGTGGAAACGAAGCGGCCGTGGGGCGCGTTCCCGGGCTGGCTGGGAACGCTGGCACTTATATAAAGGTTTTCCTTTCGCTTCCCGGTTCTCCCGCTTTGCATTTGCTCCGGGGTCGGTTCCGGGTGCCCTAAGCATCGAGGGGGCGGCCAGGCCTCTTCCTCTCCCTTCGGCCGCTCCTTGCAAACTCACCCAGGCTCAGCCTGTCCGTTTTCTCCAGGATGATCTCCGACATAGTGGCTTTGGGCAAGGGTCTCCCGGAAGGCTGGGCGCGGCTGACCCGGCAGCTCGTTTCTCGCTCAGCTCTGCGGTTCTGACGCCGACTGGCAAGCCGATTGCATCAGGCTGTCGCGGCCAGCCCTGCCGCAAAGCAAGCCCGCCCCTTCCACCCACCGGCGCTCATTGGGAAAGGAAGCGTCGTCAGAAGGGGAGGCTGGGCCTAGGAGCCGGCTGCCTTCGCGGAGCTGCGCCTTCTGCTGCTGGTTGCTCCCTGGGGAAAAGGAGATTAAACCAAGCGGCTTGCCTCGGGTGGAAAACTGAAGAGATCTGGATAGTGCAGGGGTAGGCAACCTTGGCTCTTTTATGACTCGTGGACTTCAGCTCCCAGAATTCCTGAGCCAGCTATGCTGGCTCAGGAATTCTGGGAGCTGAAGTCCACGAGTCATAAAAGAGCCAAGGTTGCCTACCCCTGGGATAGTGTCTCCGAGATGCGGAACCGTCCCGTTGTTGTAAGAATCAGTGCAGCCCAAACTGGGAACCATGTTAGAAGAGCCCTATTAGGTCTTCTATATGTATGCTACAGGGGAGACCTGGATGCATAAGGGACGCGCACAAACCCGGATTGGAGGCCTGCACCCCTGCCCCGTTTTGCTTCCCAGCTAGTTGTGCAAACCAGAATCCAGGGGATAATAAACAGCCATCCCTACTAGTAGTCACATCCTCCACCAACCCGCCCAGTTTGCTTTTTAAAGTGGCCAGATTGGCAACATATTTCATAGTTTTAAGTGTGCCCAGTGAGGAAATTGGGGGAAGGGGGGGTTTAAGCTTCCCTCTCCGACATTTGCCACCAATTTGTTTGGATAGTCACAAGATCTGATAAAGCCAACAAGTTACATCTAGGTTTTTGTTTTTTGTTTTTAAATTACATTGATTAAATTTAAAATCTGCATAATGTTTTAACTTCACCATGTCTATTACAGTTACAAAAGTGCTTTTCTCCTGTATAAACAATAAAATCCCACCATTTCTTATCTTATTTTACCTTCATTCCACTGAGATATCTAGATATTCTCATGTTTTATAGCAATAATTAATTTGGCTACTAACAGGAGAAATGCTAAATTTACTTTGTTTTGTTCTATCACATGCAGTAAGCCTAACTGGAGAAAATTCACTCTTCAGCTTTGTAATATACCGTACCACATCACAACCTCTCTGTTTTCTTAAAGCTTTCTTAAAGCCATGCTCCTTCCAGAGGATAGGAATTCCAAAAGGCTTTTTGGACCTAAAACATATGATGAACCTTTGCAGGAACTGGGTATGTCTAGTCTAACAAAGAGAAGGACTAGGGATGAACATGATAGTAGTCTTCCAATATTTGAGGGGCTGTCACAAAGAGGAGGTCAACCTATTCTCCAAAGTAAGTAAGTAAGTAAGTAAGTAAAGTAAGTAAGTAAGTAAGTAAGTAAGTAAGTAAGTAAGTAAGTAAGTAAGTAAGACAAGGGATGGAAATTATCAAAGAGAGATCCAAACTAGAATTGTTCTCACTGATAGAACAATTCATCAGTACAATGGCTTGCCTCCAGAAGTTGTGGGCATTCCACCATGGAGGTTTTAAAGAAGAGATTGGACAGCCAGACATTCCATTGTGTGGAATGAGAATTTTCTTGATCACTGTTTCAACTGAAAGAGGATTTTCTTCCCCTTCCAGTTGAACCAAGAGAATAGGGCCATGGTGGCGAACCTATGGCACGCGTGCCACAGGTGGCACACAGAGCCCTCTCTGTAGGCACGCACACCGTCGCCCCAGTCCTAGGCCTTCAGCTGGGTTTTATAAAACCTTTTCGCTTTAGGCCTCCGTCACCATGTGCAAAAAAAAAAGGTTCAATCAATTTCAACTTCTCACGGGGAAAAAAAAGATCTCGCAAAGTTGGAATTGATTGAACTTTTTAGTCCCACCCAGTCTGCCGTTACCACTGAAGCTACGCCCACCCAATGGGCCATGCCCATCTGGCACCCAATGATACATAAGTGGGTTTTGGGTTGCAATTTGGGCACTTGGTCTCTAAAAGGTTCGCCATCACTGGAATAGGGGGTATGGATGATTCCTCTTTTACTACCTCCAATTTTATAAGAATCAGCAAATGTTACATGTGTGCACACATACAATACCAAGGACACTTTAATAGAAACATTCAGAGCAATGAAAATAATTTTTTCCACACCAGATAAAAAGTAAGGCACTTTACTTATATATACATAATGCTTTAAGAAATAAAATATTTACATTTTATAATTGAGATGTATACAATCAATGTATTAAAGTTGCAAATATTGCACTTAGATTAGAAGTCTGAAAGATAAAGACTAACCTCTTCCTCATTTTTGAATAGAGAAATCAATTTTTGAATCAAAATAATATCTGCTGTCATTTACTGAAAAGCTGTAAACTTTTCAACATTCAATAGTAATAATGAAGGAATGTACCAAGTCCGTGTTCCTAAGAGACGAGCTCCTTTCACCCACCTACACAAATGTGAGGAGCAGTTGTGAATATCAAAACAGGATCATTTGGTGCATGCTGAGAGTATTGAAATGTAAACCATTTTTAAGTCCCAACACAATGAAATGTGTAGGTGAATACATTTTTTAAAAAAACATATTTTACTATTTAAAAAATCATACAATAGATTAATCATAAATACAAATTATTCTTGCTCCAGGTAGTGCTTCAAACCATGCTTCTCATTCCCACGAAGAAGACGCGTCACTCCCTCTAGTGAAGACCCCTTTGATTATGAACTTTCTCTGCCCAAATGTCTGAACATTATTAAAAGTATGCAGCCCTGATCGACCAGTACAACCTTTGTTGAATAGTGCATTATGCTCTTTCTTTCATAGATTTCATCAGGTATATAACATGGGAGCAATTTTTGATGTGTGATAAACCTTCACCCATCTCTTTTTGCCACATAAGCGTGGTGAAATTGGCATTGTCATCTTCAAGCATGATGCTGCTCCGATATTCACACAAATCATTCCAACATAAAAGACAATGCTATATAAGAATCGCCTCCTGTTGTTTAATGGCTAGATGGCCATTTCCCTTGACCAAGAACAACCCAAGGATGAAATCAACCAACATATCCAAGAGGAAACTCTGCACTGATTGAATCTTTCTTATTTCTCAAACCAATGCAAATAACACAGTAAGATTTGTACTGAAGGTAAAAAGGCTGGGTATAAAATACAATACCAGAAAGGCATATTAATTCTTGCTGCTACAGAGCTGCTAACACATTTAGAGAGGGGAGACCCCTAGAATGCCCAGAGTGAAAAATATATAACAAGCTATTGTTTTTCTGAAGGAACCTCTGGCCTTTGATTATGCACTTGAAAGCTGTTGAGCTTTCTCTGCCAAAATGTCAGAACATTATTAAAAGCATGCAGCCCTGATCGACGAATACAACTTTTGTTGGATAATGCAATATGCTCTAAATGCTTGTAACATAAAAATGAACAGCTATTTGAAAAAAAATCATTCTTAGGCTGCCAAAGAAGAATGATACGATGGTAGAATAAATTAACGGAATGAAATGGCACTCAGAATTGTGTTGCTGGGGGGTGGTTTGTCTTTGGTGCTGAAGCGTAAAATCTGTCGGAATTGTTTTTCTTTTTTAAAAAAAATACTAAGTACTATTTTTTTAAAAAAACTTAAAATTGTTGGACTTGAAGTCCAAGGCATAAGGATATCCTTCAGTTTCAAACAGAAGCAATGTTTATGCAAGGATGGAGAATTAAAAATACTCTGCCATTCGGACTGTCCAATTTTAGTCCCAAATAAAGTAATTGGAAAAATAATAATAATTAGACTCCCTTCATAACCTTGCACAGTTTTTTCCAAAAAAAGAAAAAGAATCTATTGTCCTTTGTAAAAATAAAAAAATAAAACTTTTTGTGCTATCCTTCCTCTACTTTCTGTGGGATTGGGGAGTCATCAACTGTTTTCTTCAGCTCGCCTAATTTCGGCCAAATTGTTGCCCAGAACTGCCGTTAGGGATGCTCGCCTTCGACGCATGATCCGCCCAGAAGCGATGAGGTCAGCATAACCTCGCTGATGGGAGAAGGCGTACCCAGAACGACGGGCAGTTACCCCGCGACGGAAGACGCTCTGCCTTCGCTTCCACTTCTCCTCTTCGGCCTTGTACTTTTTGCGATTCTTCCGAATCTTTAAAAGAGACAATTGTAGAACAGATTAAGAGGTAGAATTAGCAGTAGCAGCTATTAGAGAAGATCTAACTTCTAAGTTTCCTGGGATTTTTGGAGCATTAGCAATGTTTTTTTTTTTAAAGAATTTATTTATTTTCTATAACAAATTGTTGGAACCATAAATTTTTCAGATATAGATAATACAACAAATGCTCAATCAAACTTAAATATGAAAGCTTCCACGCTCATATCCAAGGCTGAACTGATGTAGGAGACCCAGATAGACAAATGAGGGTCCCATGATTCAGGCTTGTTCCCATTATCCTAAATAGAGATAGACCTCTACTTATCACTGATTGCTTAGTGGCCAAAGTTATGATGGACCCCCTCCCAAAGGTACATATGACCCAGTTCTAAAGTTCTGACCACAAGCCCCTTCCAATGCTTACTGGCCACATATTGGGTGCTCAGCAACCAGTCCTCATTTATGGCCCTTTGAGCCATGTGACTGCATTTTACGTTGGCTTTGCCCCAAATCAGCATTTAATTCTGGTTTTTGGCAAAACTGGTACATAGTGCTTTATCACCATTGCAAAAAAGATTGCAAAATTAGGTGGTCACCTGGATGACCTACTTTACGACTTATCACAACCTACAACTGTAACCAGGGATTCATGATTATACAAAAACCTAACCAGCTCTTTTCTTCAACTCGCTGGTAACCAGTGGTGGGATTCAAATACCTGAACATCCGATTCTCTGCGTGGATGTAGACCTGGGCCTCTGAGGCCTAGAATGGACATCCATGCACTTCCGGTGGGCCGTTCTAGGCCTGGGAGACCTCCTCCAGGCCTCCAAGGCCTAGAACGGACTTCCAGAAGCAGGATGGGTTCAGCCGGTTCTCCGAACTCAACAAAATTTAGCTACCGGTTCTACTGAACTGGTGCGAATCGGCTGAATCCCACCACTGCTGGTAACTTGGATTAATAACCAGAACTTCCTACGTACCTTTTCACTTTTGGTAGGCCTGATCGTCATCATCAAGAACCGGAGGGCAATGATGGGTAGCAAACAAAGAGCAACAGACAGTATTATCGTCAACCAGATATATGGCTGCCGGAGAGCATTTGCAGCAGTACCTGGGAAGGAGAAGTGACAGTTACAGGAGGTGGCTGACGCATGTGGAGTTCCTTCAAACCAACAAGAACTAAAAGCAATCTTTAGAATGCAACAACAGAGTCATCCCAGGGACATTAGCAAATGATGAAAGCCACATCACACTGAGAGATCCATTCCCTTATATGCGAGAATGAAGGCCAGAGCTTCCATTGTAATGAGCCATGTTGCTTTGTTTTCAGAAATGCAGCAGACCCTGCACTGTGATATAACTAGCTTTGGGGGAGGGGCACTGGTGATAACTTTCTGTTTGTAAAGTACATGTAGTCCTTGACTTGTGACCATCATTGAGCCCAGAGTTACGGTCGTAAATTGTTCCAGTGGTTAAGAGGGTCATAATCAGATCAAACCGATTTTATGACATTTTTTTGCATTAGTCATTAAGCAAATCACCATTGTTGTTTGTCCATCGATTTCGATGAAGACCTTGACATCTTATGGATTATGGGCCATCAGCGGTGAATGCTGCAATTGTTAAGCAAACTCATTATCCACTATGGGTGTTTTTTGCCAGAAATGGGAAGTAAATGCCAATTTCCAGGAAAAAAACCTGCAAATCACAATCATGACTGAGGGATGCTACAAAAAAGCTATAAATGTTAGCTGGTTGCCAAATGCCCAAAATGTAGTCATGTGACTGGAGGGGGGGCAACCATCAGAACTTCAAATCTGGGTCATAAGTACCCTTTTGGGGATCTGTCATAACTTCAAACTGTTGCTAAATGACCAGTCAGAAGTCAGATATAAGCTTTTTTTACTAAGTTTTTAATCCTTTTGCACTTGTTCTCTGCCCACAATTTTTGTACAGCTGAGAAAGTGGTTGTCTTTCAACACAATGGTTGTTTCATGCATAATCTAAATAAAAATATTTTTTTCGGTGTTTTGGGTTTAGCATTCTAATTTGTTGTTTGGCTTCATGGAATGTAGGAACCAGGGCAATATGGCTTCTTCCAGGAATCATACTTAAACTGTTCTTTGTGCAAAGGATGAGTCTAGTTAATTGCTATTTAATTTTTTTTATTGAAACATAACAAGTTTTTTTAAAAAAAGTATAAACTCATTTAAGCTCATAAATAAAGGCAGTGGTTAATGTGTTGGTATAATGCCAGGTAGACCGGGGTCCAACTTAATTCTCAGCCAGGGAAGCTTACTGTGTGACTTTGGGTCAGTGCCTCTCAGCCTAGTCTACCTTACAAGGTTATTGTGGCGGGAATAAAAATATAAGGTGCCTGTGCTCCTGCAGGAAAAATGAGATTATAAACCTAACTACCAAATCAAAATAGGGATGAGTTCAAATATCAAATCAACTAATAGACCCATAAAGTGCTAACATAATATTTTAATCCAGCTTTATTGTCGTATTACTGCCAGTTTTATTACATTCTTTAAGTTGTGAAGGGTCATTTTAGTTTCTTACCCTTTTGAAGCTTACAATCTTTTTCGGTCCAACCTGAGGCACTAAGCTTTTGTTTTTTTAAAGATCAGCTAGGATACACACTTTTGACATTTTAAGGGATAACTTGTTTGCAGATAGAAAGAAAACAATCAGTACCAACCTGTAAACTGAAACAGAGCAGGGAAAAGGACATGGATCCCAGCACTGTGCAGATCAAACATGATGCCAAAATAAAGTGCAATACTCCCAAATATTGAGAAGGCATTAACAAATGTCCAATAAGATGTATCCATTCCAATCTATAAGCAAACAGGATAACAAGACAGAAGTATGAGATCCATAAACAACAAGATAGATGCTGAGAAGGAAGAATGGGAGAGAGCAACATTTTTGAAACTGTGGATCAGTCAACTCCCTAAGAAGTTCGTAAGAAATTTAGAAGGAAGGGGGCTGACATGATTTTAAAAAAAAAATGTTTTAAATCTGTCAGCAAAGTGGGAAAGCTATCAAAACTAGTTTCAGGTTTTGCTTGTATAAGTCCGGATGAGCAATGACGGTTCGATATATACATTAACTTTTAATGTTTAGAAGAATGCTATATTTATTGCTTGTCCTAATCCAATTAAATCATTAATTTTATTTAGGAAGAAGGAATCATACAAATTCCTGGAGCAGCCTCTGGAACGGAATCAATTCTCTTTATGTTTAATATGGAAAACTGATTGGATTCACTTATTGTCCAATTTCCATTTCAGCTTGCGGAGGAAGAAACACAGATGTGCAAATTTTCCTTCCTACCGATTTTACTTCCTCTAGTTCATCTCTCCACATCTGCGAGTTCCTTCAACCAGCATTTTTCCTTTCTTGGTAAAAAATCTGCCAGGTTTGACAGGAGGGGAGGACTTATCTTTGTAAAGACATGAGCAAGAATTACAAAGTCTCTAAATGTGAACTATGAACATCAAGCTGGCATTTTAAAGGAGTAGCCCGTCAGTTACGACCACAACGGGAACCAGAATTTCCTTTGCTAAGCAGGGCAGTTATTAAGTGAGCCATGCCTGAGTTTACAATTTTTCTTTTTTGCTGCAGTTGTTAAATGTATTATGCAGTTGTTAAGTGAATCCAGCTTCTTCCATTGACTTTGTTTTTCCTGGAACCTGGCTGGGAAAGTCATAAAGGGCAATCACGTGATCCTGGGATGCTATAACCATTGTAAATACATGCCAGTTGCCAAGCACCTGAATTGGGTGGAATGACCGTGGGGAATGCTGTGGTGGTTGTAGGTGCAAGGACTGCTTATAAGTCACTTTTTTTCAGCACCGTCATAACTTTGAATGGTTGTTACATTAACGGTCATAAGTCGAGGACTACCTGTATTGAACAATGAAGATTGATTGACTTGCCTGAAAATTAACTACAATTATGAGAGAAGATGAGGCAGTGACTGCAAAGGACTGGTAATCGGAAGGAGCTTCTCCGTCTTGTCCCATGGTTTGTAGGTAAGCACCATACGGTATGAAGAAAATAATCAGCGATGTTATAATACCATGCAGCAGACTTAAGAAGAACTTCTTGTAGTTAAAAAGCAAGTCTTTTTGTCCCAAGATGTATAAGGTAGGAAACCGTATGCTCAGTTTATCGCTCACATCCTTAATTGAAAGAATTAAGACAAATTACAATCAGTTGCTTGAAAATCATTTAACCTGCTATGCATTCCCACAGCAGATGTACAATATCACATGCACAAGGAAAATAGCCACATTTTAGCTAATGCATCAGTGGTCGGAACTGAGTTGGCAATACAAAATATCTGCAGAAAATTTTAAAAAGAGCTAGATCCACCTTTCTGCTGTAATGATGATGATGATGATGGATGATGATGATGATGATGTTGGAAGGTACCTTGGAGGTCATCTAATCCAACCCACTGCTCAGGCAGGAAACCCTATACCATTTCGGACAAATGGCTGTCCAGTCTGTTCTTAAAAACTTCCAGTGTTGGAGCATTCACCGCTTCTGGAGGCAGGTTGTTCCACTGGTTAATTGTTCTAACTGTCAGAATTGTTCAAACTGTTTGTTTGAAGCCGTCCACCTATCCAGCTTATAGAAAAAATAGGGTTCCCAAGTCCCACCCTGCAATGTCCATGCCCAGGCCTTCTCCCTTTGGATGTCCAAGTCAACACAAGGGTGTTCAGAGAGGACCAGTGACATGCCCTGTGCTTGGGATGGGTCCACTCACACTCTGTGTTATCACTGAAGTCCATAGCACATAAAGGAATCTCCAATTTTGTTCAAATAATTTAGATAGGATTCTTAAAGTGATGCCTATGATGATTAGTTAGTAACTGAGTCATTAAGCAAAGTGATCACTAAGTAAAACAGTGACTGTGCTCATGATCATTTCTTTTTTTACAGAGCTACAAAAGTTGTCAATGGGAGGTTTGGTCATAAAGTCACTTTTTTGTGACAGTCATATCTGCAAATGATTGATAATGATTGATGATTAGGGGGCTGGAAGCTAAAATATATGAAGAACAGTTGCAGGAATTGGGTATATCTAGGCTAGCGAAAAGAAAGACCAGGACTGACATGATAGCAGTATTCCAGTATTTGAGGGGCTGCCACAAAGAAGAGGGGGTCAACTTATTTTCCAAAGCACCAGAAGGCAAGGCAAGAAACAATGGATGGAAACTAATCAAATAGAGAACCAGCCTAGAACTAAGGAGAAATTTCCTGACAGTGGAACAATTAACCAGTGGAACGGTTTGTCTTCAGAAGTTGTGGGTGCTCCAATACTGGAGGCTTTGAAAAAGGGACTGGACAGCCACTTGTCCAGAATGGTATAAGGCAGGGCAGTGCTTTTTTTCTAAAAAAAAAAAAAAAAAAGTGCCGGAACTCACACACGTCATACAACCCGCCTTGCCTACCCTACAAGGTTCCATCCAAAAAAGGTGCCAGAACTCCATTCTGGGCGTTCTATGAGAAAAAAAAGCCCTGGGGCAGGGGTAGGCAACCTCGGCTCTTTTATGACTCATGGACTTCAATTCCCAGAATTCCTGAGTCAGCTGACTCAGGAATTCTGGAAGTTGAAGTCCATGAGTCATAAAAGAGCCAAGGTTGCCTACCCCTGGTATAGGGTATCCTGCTTGTATAAGGGTTGGATTAGAACAGTGGTCCTCAACCTTTCCACTTTGGCAGCCCGGCCCAGCGCAGGGGGGATGGGCATGTGACTGGCAGGCAGACGCACACAGCTCCATTGGTGTGAGCGGCAGGCGCACGAGCCCATCCCTCGTGCTAATGGAGCTTTACGCATGAGCAAAGAGCACTTGTGAGTGAAGTTCCACTTGTGTGAGTGGCAGACATTTGCATTCACGTGCGAAATTCCACTCACATAAGCGGAGGGCACTTACGCTTATACTCATGTGCAAAGCTCCACTTAGCCCAGGGATTGAGGACCCCTGGACTAGAAAACCTGCAAGATCTCTTCCAACTCTGTTATTCTGATAAACAAGTCAGTCACTAAACGAGGACTACCTCTACTCTCAAATTGAACCAATACAAGAAAGGTAAATGTTAATTTCCACACATATTTAGTAATTGATGAATTTGTTTTATTCTGTTCTTTCACTGAAGTAGCATTTAAGTGTTAGCAAAGTTGCAGACACATGACTAGATTTCCTACCAAGGAGTCTGATGATGAGTAATTTATAGGCAAATGGCAGCTTCAAAGGTGTGGCATTAATAAAGAAAGTAGCCACGTGATGGCACTATTTGTCCAATATTAATGCAATATGGGGAAATGGTTTTGTAACAGAATATAATTTATTATTTCAGACTTTGATTTACGTCAGAATATATTCCCAACATAGTGGCTGAATTCACATTCCAGGCTGAGCAATGTTTAACTGGCAGGTGAAATAAGCTGCAATGGCTCAGTTGAAACAATATATTAAACCATAAACCATTCTTTACAATCACATAATGCATTAAGCCAAAACCAAACAAACTACATCATGGCTTATTGTACTTTGTGAATTTAGTCAACAGAAATTTCAGAGGCCATGTTTGCATCGCACACAGAAGCAATGATCAGCTTTTAAGGATCAATTTTTAGTTTATTGTTCAGACAAACCTGGTCAAGTAATCCAACAAGCAGGACAGGTAGGCTGGAATATAATACGTTGTATAGCGTGATAAACCAATCCTCATATGCTGTCTGTAATTGCAAAGAAAATACATTAAACCTTTAAAATATTTATTTAAATTGTATTTAAATAAAATTAAATTAATGCATATCCGGAAAAGCAACTGTGGCAACAAACAATGATCAAATAAAACAAAAAATTTAAAACAATATAAAAACCCACATTAAAAGGTAAATGTTACCAAAATGAATATACAAACCTTAGGCAAAGAGGGGGAAGCCAGAATGAGATGGGGCCAATCAAGTGGCTTGTCTGATTGATTGTTGTCACCAGGGTGGAGTGGGGGTATTGTTTTTTTTTATTATTTGTATACTGGGTTTAATTTTTGTAAGCCACCCAGAGTCACTGAGAGTAAATGGGTGGCCATATAAATTTTCTTAAATAAATGAATAAAAATGGCCAGCTTAACAATGGAACCATCTAAGCATGTTTTCTCTGGATATTCCAGGCCTGATGACACAACCAAATCTTGAGGGACTTTCGGAGTATCAAAAGGGGTGGAGCTAATTTCAGGTAGAAGAATGTTCCATAAGAGGGAAGGGATGAGGGTGCTAAAGTATCAAGTCAAATGCTATGGCAGCTAGAACTTCAAGGACCAGTCATAAGTACCCCTTGTTCAGCTCTGACATAACCTTGAACAGTCACTGGGCGAGTGGTCATTAAGCAAGGACTACCTGTTCTTGAACATCTATCCTAAAGCATTCCAGTCCTTTGTAATTGCACAAATCAACAGAAATACATAAATATTTATAAATATTGACTGCTGCAAAGTTTCACAAGTCTTCTTGATCCTTTACCTGAGCAGAATAGCCATTGAAGAAGGAGTACCAGAAGTGCACCAATGTAAAAGCAAAGTTTTTGTAAAAGAAATACCGAAGGAATTTGCACATTCTAATGTAAGACCATCGACCATGAACCAGCAGCAGCCTCTGGAGATATCTGAACTGGCCAAAAGAGTAGTCACTGGACATGACGGCTTGCATCCCTTCTTGACCACTTATCCCAACACCAATATGGGCAGCTAGAATAAGAGTAAAAAATACACAGCGTTAAGCTACGTTCATTTATTCTAATCAGCTCTTGGGCAATTAATTTTTGAAAAACAGATACCTAAATGTTTCAAGAAACAAACAAAATTTAATTCCTGGTTTTGTGTATGTTGTATCTCATGTAGCCTTCATTATTATTTTTATGTCAGCCATCTCTGCATTTTCCCAAAACAGCACTCAGTTTTTAAAAACCTTTCTATTATTAAAATTTTAACAAAACTCTATTGTGTAATAGAATATGAAATTTAGAAACAGCAGACAAAAAGAAAATAAACGCAGAATGCAAAGAATGTACAGGCGGAGGAACTAAGTAAAACACAACAGTACGTAATAGTTTGCATAAGCCATCACTGCCATGAAAATAAAGTTTGAGATATGCATACAAATACATTCATGCCTTTTCTTGCAAATGAATTTTATGTAACATGCAGAAAAGGGAGTAAGAAATTCTAAAGCAAAAAATTGAAGGTATGATGTAAGAAAACATAATTAAAACTAATTTCATCAGAGAGACTCAAAGATATTCATCTCCAGTGGTCATCTGGATTTTCTTTGCTCAATCAAGGATTTTTTGTTTTTAGAGAAGATGTTTGTTTAATTTAAAACATTTATATATTTGCCCATCTTTTAACCAACTCTGAGAGGCTCCCAATCAAAGATTAAAAAAACAAAACAAAATCATTTTAGTATGGAATAAGCTGCATCCATGCCACATTGAATGTTCCCTGATAAAAATAATGACAGTATCAGTCACTGACATATGTAATTGTTCCCAAACTCTTAGGTATTTATGTATGGAATAAGAGTTAAGGATATTCTCCTTCACCTTTGATTCAAATTTTATATCCGAACTCCAAATTCAGACTACGTTGCAAAAAAAAATTATTGCATGCTTTTAATATATATTTTCTACTTTCATAGTTCAGTTGACAAGATTGGCTCTTAATTTTTGTTTTGGCAAATCAAGAGAATTGAAAGGATTGGATTTTCATTAAAACCCACTCTGTTAAACCCATATCCATTAAATTTAGGGTTTACTGTAGTTGGAATATGGAAAGTACTTCAACAGAACTGTCACACCAATTGTTCATTCATTTATTGCATCAGCCTGTTTGTCAAGGATCAGGAGTGCCAAGCTATCTAGCTTGAAACAGGCAGAAGCTGTCGAGACACACAACACAGCCTGGCTACATACTGTAAGAATTTTTACTGCATACTAGGATGAAGCCATATTAAGTGTGCCCTTTGTCAACACAAAGTTGAGAATGTTCTTATACCTGCAGCGGTTTAATTATAGTGTTATTCCAACAATTTTACAGATTGTATTTCCCAGTCTCTGAACAAGGAACTCTTAGCTGCTGAATTCCCATCCTAAGAAACAAACTCCCAGTATAATTCCGACAGGCAATCATGAGTCATATTTGACCTACAAGTCCTCCTTACCTGACACACTAAGGCTTTGTTTAAGGGGAATATGTCTCTGTCTTTCAATCTTGAGAAAAGGACTAGATCTTGACAATCAGGTCAAAGGTTCCATCTACTAATGTTCTGTCTTTTAAGGTTTATTTTGTGGCAGATAAAGTAGCTCCCCTTCTCTGTTGTGATAACCAAAAAGGCTATTGAAAAGTTTGTCTGAATTTTGTTCTATAATCTTATGAAAGAACAGCAGCATAGGAGCATAAGTTTAGTGCCTCCAGAAAGTTCTATGGATAATGTAGGATCTAACAGCCGTGCCCAGCAATGTTTGCTACCCAGTTTTAGATCCAGATTAAAACAGAAATGATTCACTAAAAGAGGCATCAAGCGATCCAACCTAAAAGTAAGGATAAATTTTTCTGACATGAGAACAATGAATCAATGGAATAGCTTGTCTCCTGGAGCTGTGGGTGCTCCATCCCTGGAGGTTTTCAAAAATAGACTGGACAACCATTGGACCGGGGTGGTATAAGGTCTCCTGCCTTGAGCAGGGGGTTGGATTAGAAGATCTCCGAGGTTCCTTCCAGCCCCATGTTTCTATCTTCTGTGTTCTTTGATTCAGAGTGAAGATTCATTGACTGAGATCTTCATACCTCCTTCAGAAAACAGAACTCATCTATATGAAATAAACCCATAAGAAGAAAAAAATGTCAGGTCTAACTTACTCTTAATCATATTCACATCATTAGCACCATCTCCAATAGCCAAGGTTATGGCTTTCTTGTATCTCTTTACCAAATCGACCACCATGGCTTTCTGTTTGGGGGTTACTCGGCAGCAAATCACAGCATTGCACTCGCAAGCTAAGTCAATAAAGTTTCGTTGCTGTTGCTCCTTGTTCAAGTCTATTTTTTGTTTTGTCTCCTTATGCCTTAGCTTCTCTTCTGCTGTTTTGGGAAATTTCAGTTTCAGGAGCTTCCTTTTCTTCGTTTTCTTCTCCAAGAGAATTTTATTCTGTAAAAAAAGATTCATCTCTATAAACTTTTAGATAGATAGATAGACAGACAGACAGACAGACAGACAGACAGACAGACAGACAGACAGACAGACAGATGGATTGATGGACGGATGGACGGATGGACGGATGGATGGATGGATGGATGGATGGAGATGGGATGAAAATATCATATTTCTTTTGCCCATTTTGCTCAGAGGAACACATGATGCAAAGCATGAAAAAAATTAACCATAACAAAAGGACAGATGTCTGTTATTAGTAAAAATGGTCTTTAAAAATAAGCAAAACTGATTTCAAAAGAACATGGGATTGGAACCAAGACAGTATTTGACCTAATAATTGCATTTATTCTTTCTTTTAAATCTTTTCTAGTCAAAAAAGTGTCCTATAAACTTATATATGGACCAGTTATGAACATTTATGAGTGAATATAATCCAAAGATAACTAAAATATCATCAACACAGATGTTCATGAACTTCTACAAATTAATTTACCAAATACATTATTTATGAATGAGCCACCTGATTCATCAATATATCTCTGTAAACAATACCTGCTTCAGATACATAGGAACTGATCCAAATTAACCATTATTTAGTTCTGTAAGGCAGCTAGGAAACTACATGGATGAAACTGTCAGCCCTTTGAGGTAGATCAGACCAAGAAGCAGACACTACAAGGATTTCAGGAGAGCTACTTTATAGCTATAGGACAGTGATGGTGAACCTTTTAGAGATCGAATGCCCAAACTGCAACCCAAAATCCACTTAGATATTGTCGGGTGCCGGGTGGGCATGGCCCACTGGGTGGGCGTGGCTGCGATGGTAACGGCAGACTGGGTGGGACTAAAAAGTTCAATCAATCAATTCCAACATTGTGAGATTTTTTTTCCCCCGCAAGAAGTTGAAACTGATTGATTGATTGAACCCGGTGGCGGAGGCCTAAAATGAAAAGGTTTTATAAAACGTAGCCGAAGGCCTACGACTGGGGTGACAGTGCGCGTGCCCACAGAGAGAGCTCTGTGTGCCACCTGTGGCACGTGTGCCATAGGTTCGCCACCACGGCTATAGGATTTAATAATAAAACCCTAAAAGCCTATTTTTTTCAGTCCCACCTTATGCTAAACCAAATGAAGTTACTGTTGAGTTTCGCAGTTGTGTAATGACTTCTCCAAGTCCCTCATTAAAAGCTTTCATATTTTTCCCAAGATTATCTCTAATTTCATGAATAATTCATTTGCAACTTCTTTGGTTATATAAGGCTAACATGTAATTTGAGCGATCCCTAGAACTTAAACTTTTATCCAACTTTCTTCATCTTGAAGTTCTCCAGATGAATTACAGTTCTTAAAATTCCCCTCCTCCCCCAGAATGATCAATACTCAACACATCTTAATTTTTCCATTATTAATGATTGTGGACAATTCTCTCAGACTCAAGTAGCAGGTGTGAGCACCCAGTATTTACCAGCCACGATCCAGTGATAATTAATGCTTGTTTTTTGCCCTCGGAGAAAAAGGGTTCATTTGCTCTACTGGAGGATTTCTCATATGCCCCAATTCGGTTCCTCTGGTTCTCCAACCTTCTTTTCAAAAGATCACTAAGGGAGGTGAGATAAGGGAAGAAATGATTTTAGAAATCCATTATGTAAAAAATAACAGGTCATGGTGACTAAAAACAGAATTAAGTATGTCTTTAAAAAACCTAAACCACTAGGTCAGACATGTCAAACACAAGGCCCGGGAGCCAGATGTGGCCCGTGAAGTGGTTTCATGTGGCCCACGAAGCCATCCTGGAAACAGTGAGGGAACGGCCCCCGCTGCCTTGGCCCTGGCCCAAGCTGGCCGGGAACCAATGTACAATTTTGTGGTGGCCATCTATGCTGAAACGCATTCAGTCTTACTCCACAAGGCCATCTGGAAACAGCGAGGAACCAGCACCTGCCGTGTCGGCCCTACCCCCTGGGTGCATGCTGGGGAGGTGTCACTCTTTGTGAGGAATGAAGAAATGCACCATCGCCTGGAAGTGGCCAGCAAATGGCCCTCGCCTACTTCACATATCCGGCTTGATGGGCTCCGTGGGAGGGGTTTCGGCAGGCAGTGGGGTGCTCTCCTCATAGTGGCGAGAGGCTGAGCCTGGTGAACCATGCCTTGGCACTTGCCCTGGTCCCACCCTCTTCTGCCAAAGACCCTTGATGCGAACGATGTAGAGCTGGCCATGCCCACCTTATAGGCCACACCCACTCCATCCATGCCCATCCAGTAGGCCACACCCACCCTGGCCAAACCCACCCGGCCCCCCAAGGGCAACCGCAATGCTGATGCGGCCCTCAATGAAATTGAGTTTGACACCCCTGCACTAGGATTTAGCAGATGGCTTTTTGCAATTTCAGGTGTGCAACATATTTCAATGGACACTGCTTTTTCCTAGAACCCTACTATATTTTGATAGTGACAAGGTGAGCAAATAGCTTAATTGTGTAATGTCTGGATTTCATCATAAAAAATTATCCACCCAAACAAGAACTTCCAGAAACAGCACACCTTCTTTGTTTCATATTATCAGTGCATAGCTGAGTTGATTCAGAGAAACAACAGGAGGGAAGTTCATCACTGGAGGTTTTTAAGAAAAGACTGGGCAGCCACCTGTCTGAAATGCAGGGGGCTAGACTAGAAGATCTCCAAGGTCCCTTCCAGCTCTATTTTGATTGATTGAAGTGATAATTAATTCTACTTCCCCTCTTTCTCATTCAACAATGTATGAGCAGCTTCTTTTTTAACTAAGACTCTGAAAAGTATATTTGCCATGGAAAGTAGGAAAAGAAATACTAAGATACAAAATTCCATACTCAAGGTCCATTTGTGTACCATAGTAGACAAATCAGAATAGCACATATTATTCTAGAACTGCACTAACTTGCCAAAGAAGATGTGCTACCATTTTTTGATTGTCAGTTTAAGTGGCTTCAGTACACAGGAAAGTATTGGAATCTTGTTAGATCTCAAACGCAGTCAGCAACCCAAAATATGACTAAGATATGGTTTAGAGCAGTGATGGCGAACCTTTTAGAGACCGAGTGCCCAAACTGCAACCCAAAACCCACTTATGTATCGCCAGGTGCCGAGTGGGTGTGGTCCACTTGGCGGGCGCAGCTACAGTGAGCGTGGCAGACTAGGTGGGCATGGCCACTGGATGGGTGTGGCTGCAGTAGTCATGGCAGAGTGGGTGGGCAAGGCCCGGGTGGGCGTGGCCACCTCGATGTTGCTTATGGGGTGGGACACCTGTGGGAGCTGGGCAGGGTAGGGTTGGGGGAGCTCCAGGGGGTCTCTGGCAGGTGGGATGGTGGGCTCCCCAATGGCGGCTCCAGGCTGGCTGGCCTTAGGCCAGTGATGGCGAACCTTTAGAGACCACATGTGCTGGGGTGATGATGCGTGCCCACAGAGAGGGTTCTGCATACCGCCTCTGGCACGCGTGCCATAGGTTCGCCACCACTGGTATGGAGTATCATATCTTAACAACAATTCTGGGAGGCACATAGATATAGAATGTACAATTGTCACAATATCACCTAGTTAGACATGTGACCAGGCCTGGATTCCAATCTGAGTCTCTTTGCCCAAGTACAGTGACAATTGGAAGACCATTGTTATTTTGAGTTTAGTTGTGATTTCTCCTTCATATTAAGAAAAGTCTAGAAGTTTAGAGGTCATTTTGAGCTAATCTGCTTGTTCTCATTTACTCTTGTTTACTTAATAAAGGAAAGGGAGAGGAATCTTTACATAGCTGCAAATTTTTTTCCTACTGTTAGAAGACTGTATCGTGTTTCCCCGAAAATAAGCCCTAGTTTGATTTTTACATGTGCGCCTAATATAAGCCCTACTCCCCAAAATCAGCCCTAGGTTTGGGTCGAGGCACATGTGTAAAAATCAAGCTAGGGTGGGGTTGGGGGGTTGGAGCTGCCCCACGTGCCCCGCACTGGTTTACCTTAGGAACGCAATTAACCATCAATCAACACTCATATGAGCAGAGATTAACATCAAGATTAACATTAGACCAACAATCAAGAATCAAACAATACCCCAATGAAGGGACTACCCACTCAGACAGAAAGTAGACAATTATCCCATCAAGGAACCACCAAGACCTCTCCTACCAACACTAACAGGCCTCCCACGCCCGAACACCTGTTGCGCCACTGCCTGAGTGCTGCCACTCATGATGAGCCATGCGGTGCTGCCACTGGTGCTGCCACTCATGATGAGCCATGCGGCCTCCTCCTGTGAGTGGTGGCGCCAGCTCAATGCACCACATGGCGTGTGGCTACAAGCAGCCGCAGAAGAACTCAGGCAGTGGCGTGACAGGTGTCGGGGCATGACAGGTCTGGCTGCGGCAGTCCTCAGGTAAGCGGGTAAGACATGCCCCCCAAATAAGACTGGGTGCCTCTTTTGGAGGAAAAAAAAATAAGACCAAGTCTTATTTTCAGGAAAACATAGTATTTGAACTGTGGGGTCCTTGATGATCTCTGAGCTTGGCTGTTTTCTTACAAATGTTTCATTACCAAACTAGGTAGCATCATCAGTGCTAGTAGAATGTGGGGTTTCTTCTCATTTTATATATTAGTGGCTTACCCTGTTAGTTTTGGTAAGAGAGATCTTGGTGGTTCCTTGATTGGGCTATTGTCTACTTTCTGTCTGAGTGGGTAGTTCCTTCATTGGGGTATTGTTTGCTTCTTGATTGTTGGGCTAATGTTAATCTTGATGTTAATCTCTGCTCATCTGAGTGTTGATTGCTAGTAAGGAGGTCTTGTGGTCTGTTTGTTTCCTTTTTGGTTTTTTGATCGTCTCTTTTGAATGGTGTGTAGATGTTGCTTATCTCTATGTGCCTGTTGATGACCAATTCGCCTGAGTGCCAGGCTTCCAGGAATTCTCTAGAATTTTGGCATGGTCTAGGATGCTCACAGTTTCCCATCTGGAACTATGATTAAGTTTATCCATGTTAGAAATTAAGAGTTTTCATCATGACAGTTTTCTTACTGTAGGAGTCTCAAACTTTTGATTCCCATCCTAGAGTCATGTGGCTCCCAGTCAAAGTTAGGTCCTGCATAGCAGGTCATGGTGCCAGGTTTTGGGCTTGTTGTTTGTGGGGAGCTTATAGACCAGGGGTGTCAAACTGCCAGCCCGCAGGCCAGATGCGTCACGTGGAAGCCGCGCCCACCCCATTGCCGGCAATGGCAAAACAGGTCCGATACGTTGCGCGATGTCACGTGACGTCGCAAGTTTGACATGCCTGTTATAGACAGAATCTAGTATTAGATACTGTGGAAACTGGTCACCCTTGGGGTATTTCTGCTATTGTCATTAAGTAGCTCCTGGTAACTTGTAAGATATTTGTGTGTCATCTTATTTGTATACTTTTTACCTTATCCTTTTAAATCTGTTTGCTTTAGCTAACAATAAAGTTTAATTTGCTGGTGTGCTTATTGTCTCTGGGTCCAAAAGAACCAATTACCTGGGCACTTGATCACTGCTCTGACACTTAAATTAAATCTTCCACACCAACATCACCCAGACTGATTCCCTCAACTCAGAGAATGTTCAACCAGCCATTTGTCTCATCTAACCAGTTCCTGGCCATTCTGCCTTGTAATTCTCTGAGCATATTTAGAGATATAAAAATACAGCAGGCATCTGCCACTTCTCAAAGCTGTTGCATATTTGCAGCAAATGCAGAGGAGTTCTATGATTGTGCCCTGGGGAGTCCAAAGCACTTATTATCAAATCAAATCCAAAACATTGAGATAACTTTTAATGTAATTCCTTGCATTGAAATGGATTTACCTGACATCTTCTCCATAGTGGATGTTTGTTTCATCTGTTAAGAGTTCACAGGAAAAACCAATATTTTCAGCAGTTTCTGTAAGAGAAAAATGCCAAGTCACAGTTTGTTTTCTCATTTCTCCCATGCATACATGTGAATATGTTTGGTCCCATCAATTAAAAAAAAAACTTTAGAATTAGGTAGTTTGCCTTGGGGAAGATAAGCAGCAACTGATTATGCAAATTACCTTTTTTGTCACCTGTCAAAACCCAGATCTTAATATCTGCTTTTGCCAATTTGGAGATGGTTTCTGGCACCCCATCTTGTAACTTGTCTTCTATTGCTGTGGCACCTAAAAGCTGCGTATTAAGAAAAGATTGATATTAAGAATATGGATACAGTGGGTACATTTTAGCTATTAATGGTTTATCACTCACACAAACTATCAAAATATTAAAAGTGACTATCCTAACATTCCATGAGAAAAGCTACAAACTGAATGATATGACCATGGATATTAGTGTACCTAAATAACATTTAGTTATTATTTATATCCCACCCTATCTTCTGATGCTCAAGCTTTCTTACATTGGGGTGTCTCTAATTTAGGTAAATAGGATGGATTGAGAGAAAAGTGATTGGCCCTAATGAGCTCTCTAGCTGAATGGGAATTCAGCAATAGCAATTAGGCTGTTATATCACCCCACAGTGCTTTACATGATTTTCTGGGCAATTTACAATGTACAAACATTATTTACACATTGCCCCAACAATCTGTGTCCTCATTTTACTGATCTCTGAAGGAAGTCAACCTTGAACCCTGTCAGGATTGAACTCCAGGCTGTGGGCAGAGTTTGCCTGCAATACTACATTTTAACCACTGCACCACCAGGGCTCCTGATTCAGAACCCAGATCTTCACCATTACACCATATTAGCTTTGACTATATTCTTCTTTTATCCCAACCAAACACTATCGGATTCCCATTTTATCCTGTTTACAATCCCATGAGTTAGGTTACCCTGAGAGAAAAAACAGCTATCTTAACATCATCAAATGACTTTCATGTTTACATGTGGATCTGAATCCAGTTTTCTCCAATTCCTAGTTTGACATTCTAAATATGACACTACCTCTAACCTTCACTACCAAAAAGTGGAGGAGGTAAAGGACAATCAACATCTCATTTGTATTTTTCCCTTTCTGGCCTGCAGCCTCTCTATGGGCCATAGCTGGCAATCTTAGAGCTCAGTTGCCAGTCATTGGAAGGTGAACTGCTGGAGGAGAGGAGAGAGGGCTTGCGTGGGTTAGTTGAGGGTTGGTGCTGTGTCTGTGCAGTTGATTTGGATTCTGAGGGGTTCGTAGGCCAGTTGTAAGTCAACAGAGGAAGGAAGTTGGGATGGCCACTCCCTAGAATCTCTGGGGTGAAAGCAGTAAAGATTTTGTCTGGAAAGATTCTGTCTCTATGCTGTGAGCAAATAAAGAACTGAACTTTGACTGAATTGTTCTATGTTGTTCTTGGGTTGGGCCTGACAGTTATAATCTTTAACGGTATATGGGAATGAATTAGTTTTTATGAATCCCTCAGATCTATCGTTTACGCACCTATGTTTTATTAGTCATACCTCATTTCCTGTTTTCAGGCATGTTTTATTATATTTCTCTTACTTATATTATCGTTACTCATATGCTTTCAAAAATAATAACAACAATAAAAAGAATATGTGTACTTTTATAAGTACTGCACAGATTGGGAAATCAAGGTGAAAAAAGGTAACATGGAACAGACCTCATACGAAACATTTGCAAGGTCAAATACAAAGTCAAAGAACAAAACTCATATCTCCGTTCTCCATCAGACTTACAACTAAATTTTGTTCAATTTCTTCATATACTCTGTCAAGAGCTGCCTCGCGGTTTCCTGAGGCCAGCGAAGCTGCTGTGAACTTTTTTTCCCATGCTTCATATTCATAATTACTAATTTCCTTATAGGAAAGGCACAACGTTCGAAGGGTTTCATTTGCAAAGATCTGTCAAAGAGAGGAAAATAATGGCTGAAAGAATCTATTTGTTTCTGATCTAAATAGATTCTCCTTGGGGATAAATATAAGAATCTTGATTCATCCTAATAACCATCATTATTATTTATCAAACTTATATTCTGCCTGACTCTCAACAACTCTGGCAGTTCACAACAATCAAAACAAAGAACTGCGTATACAGATAGTCCTTGATATATGATGGTCAGTTAGCCATCATTCAGAATTACAATTGGACCTGTATTTGAAGTTCTGATGGCTGCCCCAGGTCATATGACTGCATTTTGGGTACTTAGCAATTGGCTTGCATTTACGACTGTTTACAGCATCCTATGATCACGAGACCATGATTTATCAAGTCTTTTGCAGAAACTGGCATTTACTTCCAGTTTCCAGCAAAAACACCCATTGCAAATAATGGGATCATTTAACAACGTGGATTCACTTAATGACCATGATGGGGGGAAAAGTAATAAAATCAGGTCAGTTATGTGATGACAACAGGCATGACTTACAATTATGATTCCAGGCTTAATTATGATCATAAATTGAGGACTATCTGTAGTCATATATAAATCCATTAAGTGGAAAAACTGGATATACCTTTAAAATTATTATCATATATATAATCGTGGATAAGGCCAGATGTCCACAAGCTGAACTCATTTTGGAGATGTACTTTGGCATCTAAAATTCTTGGCTTATTGAGAGTATATTCAGAAAATTAATTGAAAGGAAAAAGATAAAAGATGGCATAACCTGGCCCTATGCCAGGTACGGCTTTATAGATAATGTGAGCCAGTTTGGTCTAGTGCAGTGATGGCGAACCTTTTAGAGACCGAGTGCCCAAAACCCGCCCTCTGCCCCCGCTCCGCCTCCTGTCCTGCCTGCTCCGCCCCTGCCCGCCTCTGCCTGCCCCTGCCCCACCTGCCAGCAGGGCCACACACCGCCTCCATGCCCCGCCGCAGATCGCCCAGGCAGCCCTGCAGCCCATGGCAGCCACGCCCTCCACCCACACCCTGCAGCATCATCTGCACACTATGGGACGTGAGGGCGGAGTCTTGTCTCTGCTGCCTGGCTATGTCCTTGGCTGTCCTGCTTGTGCAGGCCGCGCCCGGGGGTGACTCTCCTCCAGGGGGGCTGTTGGTGAGGAGGGGGCTGCAGGGGGAGGCGGGGCTGGGGCAACAGCGCATGTGCCCACAGAGAGGACTCCAAGTGTCACCTCTGGCATGCATGCCATAGGTTCGCCATCACTGGTCTAGTGGTTAAGGCACCATGCTAGAAATCAGGAGACTGTGAGTTCTAGTCTTGCCTTAGGCACAAAACCTGGCTGGGTCAGTTGCTCTCTCTCTGTCTCTCTTAGGCAAATCCATCTCACAAGATTGTTGTTGTCAGGAAAAGAGGAGAAAGAAGGAGTATTAGATATGTTCACCATCCTGAAATACGTGTTTTTTTTTTTACAAAAAAAAATGATAAAGATAGGACAAAGAAATCTAAAAAATAAAATAAAATACTAGGGCCTTGAATTATCCCCAGAAGCAAACTGACAAACAGTGTGAACTTGACGCAAAGGTTTTACATAGGCATACTAAGGCACACCCATTTCTGCTTGTGCCACTGCGTTCTGGACCAGCTGAAGCTTCTGGGTTAAACTCAAGGTCAATCCTAGGTAGAGTGCCTTGCTGTAATCATGCCGTGAGGTGCGTAAGAAAGTTAGATATTTTCATTTGTATTAATGGATGCCTTGTAAAGGGAAAACAATGGAACCATATACAAGCAAATCAACTATGAAACATTAAAATAGCAATAGCACTTAGACTTTACAGCACTCTCTAAGCCAGTGGTTCTCAACCTGTGGGTCGGGACCCCATTTGGGGTCGATTGACCATTTCATGGGGGTCGCCAAGCAAGGCTGTCCGCCATTTTTTTTGTCCGCCATTTTTTCCCCTTTTCCGGTGGGTGCCTTACCTCCCTTGGGCTGGGCCAGCTGGTGGTCGGCCTGCTCCGTCTCTGCCGCTTGCCAGCTACGCCTCGGCCGGCGCAGGGGGCAAAACCACGCATGCGCGGCGCTCCTGGGCAGGGAAAGTCCTCGACTTACGACCGGTTGGGTAGTCCTCGACTTACGACCAGTTTAGTCCTCGACTTACGAGCGGTTTAGTCCTCGACTTACGACCGGTTGGGGTCGCGGCATTAAAAAGGTTGAGAACCACTGCTCTAAGCGGTTTACAGAGTCAGCCAATTGCCCCCAACAATCTGGCTCTTCATTTTAACCGATCTTGGAAGGATGGAAGGCTGAGTCAACCTTGAGCTGATGAGACTCGAACTCCTTAGCAGAATTAGCCTGCAGTACTGCCATCTAACCACTGCACCACCATGGCTCACTGTATATGTTTATTAATGATGTTTAGTGATGAATACCACCAGCAACAACAAAAAAGTAAGAACAAGAAACTTCTCAAATGTTCATGCTGGTAAAAGAAAAATCCATTGTTTTCAGTGGATTGACTTTTAGTATTGCAACTGTTTATTTATCAAATTAGGTACCATCCATCTTACCCTCAGACTTATCAAGTCTTTCTACTTCAGTCTCATAAAAAATGCTACTGTATATTGAAACAATTTTAAGTTTGTAGCTAGTTTTAACAATTATCCTGGTAAGATCTGTTCTAAGGTATTACAACTTACAGTCAATGAATCTTCGGTATCCTGTTTGCTAGGATTTCTTGGATGCAGCCGTTCAAAAATCACTGTATCAGCTCCTTTGCAATAAAGTCTGATGGCTCCATTGGGATCTCTTGCTACAAAGAGCAAACCGAAAGAATTGAAAAAGAAACCATTTCTTTACTGAAGCTAAGTTATTAAAATAGATATATTTTACAGAAAATACATGCAGTCTTCCACTTGAGCATTGCCACAAGAATCCTTGCAACATTCCAGAATCACTTCCAGAACTTTATTATCATCATTAAGTGAACCAATTATTTTCTAGCTGAGCTGCAAGAAGACTGACCTTTCAGTTTGCAAATAATTAAAGCCCTGCAGGGTTTGGAAAGCTGTTTTTCCATAGGCAGACATTCTTCCTTCCTTCTGCTCCAGAACATCAGGTGTTCCATTTACAGGTCCTTTAAGGGGAATAATGGCTTGACAGCTTTGCAGTGACCACCAACAGCACTTCACAATGATCAGATTTTTTTTTTTGCATAAATTGTGCAAGCATACACCACCTTACTGATTCTACTTCAAAATGCAACCTGGATTGGTCTGGGCTGTTTTGACTCTTTCAGATCATAGCAATTGTTCTCCATAGTAACCTAAATGAAGGGAGTTGGGATAAAATTGATCGGGTGCATGTTGATCCCTTTTTAGTAGAGGACCAATGCAGAACATAATTTATTTTCTCTTTGCATAGTATTCAGGTGGAGATGAGGCAATTTTTATTCTAGAGTTGAGAGCTGATTTATTGATAGATTTATTAAATGTATATGCTGTCCATTTCACTCTGAGAAATGACTGATTAGATGGTGCATTTCAAAATCATTGGAAAGATTGATGAATCAAACAGCAAAAAATTACTATGCAAAGTGCCCTAGTGACATTGCAAAGGGCACCAATTTATGAGTAGAAAATGTTAGTTATATTCATCTCCTGTATTTTCTCTAAAGGTATCCAGAGTACATTATATAGGGTAATGGTATGTGGGAATGACCCAAGAAGACGGGGAAGAGCCACAGCTAGGAGAATGGTTGGATAAAAGGCAGTGTAGCCCACAAAAGGAGTATGGGCATAGCAAATATCTCAGAAGGGACCCTCCTTAGCTTCTTAGCTGTAAAGGTGATGAGATGAAATGTAATTTCAGATCTGCAAGATTTTGTTAATGTAACCTTACAATAAAGTAGAATTAGTTCACCTGGGCATGCTTTCTCTCTGAACTACCTTGCAAGGCTGGCATGCAGACGATAGAATATGCAGTAAAAATACAGAAATTGGGGTTATCACCAATTTAAAAAAAATTGCTCTCAGTCCTTTAACTGATTCACACAACTCAATTTGGTTAAGGCAGTTAGGAAAGAGAGATATTTGTTCCTACTGTATACAATCTTGGAAATACAACTAACCAAGTCCTGGAGTGTGAATAAATAGAATCAAAACTTAGGGCAAAAGTATGGAAGATGTTCATCTCATGTTGCCAAACATTTTAATCCTAATAATGGTGAATTGATCAACATGATATAACTAATGGTGGTTTGCCCTTAGGGGACTCTTGTTATCTATTTGTCTTAGCATATGGACAGCAAGAGGCATAGCCTGCTAAACTGACATCATCTCCATGTTCCCAAGATTAGGAAACATGGAATTTGACTATATGGGAGAAGTAAGGCTTAAACCTAATATGACAGTTTGGTATGCAGTTACACCAGAACAGCATCTCTTTTAATTGTTTTCTTTATAAAACAGACAAACTGAGGCATTTTCCTCCTTAGATAAAAATATGTGGTATTAACTTCTTCTAGAACTGGGAAAAAAGCTGTTGACTTACTGATAACAGACATCCTTTTTCTGTCACTGTTGAAGTCCAAAATGGCAAGCACATCATAGGTTTTTACAGTTCCCATTTCACTTATTGTAATAGTATTTTGTGTCCGTGAGAGGAAAGCATAACCCAAGTTTCTGGCTGCAGTTACCAAAGCCCCTTCATCTGGAGAAGCAGCATGATAGTTGAGCTCACCTTGACAATAAAAGCAAACAAGAAATCCTCACAGACAGAAGAACCACATTCTTTGGAAACTGATGCTGAAGTTAACAAACGTACCTTATCCCTAGTATTTATTTATTGCATATAATCATTTTTTTTAATTTATTGCATAATAACCAGCCTTTGTTCCTGAAAGCTCCAGGTGGCAAAAACAGAGGTGCCCTTTGTGTAATCTTCTTCAACAATAACTCTGAATCTAGTATGAGTTAAGTGAGAGCAACAGCTCTCAAGTTAGGACCTGCCCATGATTGTCCACAGCTCAGAACAGTATCTTAACTGGTGTATTACACCAGCTTTGTGTGGATTGGCTCCTTGTGCATATGTGGCTTCTCCATATTGCTAAAATATTATATAGGACCATTAGAGTGACCTCTGAGCCCCAGATTTTAGGAGATCCTCAGACAAAATGTTCTGTCATCAGAATGTGGTTTGTACAAGTAGGGTGACAAAAAAGATACAGATAGTCCTTGACTTACAACCATAAAGGGAGCCCAAAATTTATGTTGCTAAGTGAGACATTTGTTAAGTGAATTTCACCCCATTTTTTGACCTTTCATGCCACATTTGTTAAGTGAATCACTGCAGTTGTTAAGGAAGTAACACAGTTGTTAAATGAATCTGGCTTACCTATTGACTTTGCTTGTCAGAAGGTCGCAAAAAGAGATTACATGAACTCGGGACACTGCAGCCATTATAAATATGAACCAGTTGCTAGACATGCAAATTTTGATCATGTGAGCATGGGGATGTTGCAACGGTCGTAAATGTGAAAAATGGTCATAAGTCGCTTTTTTCAGTGCCGTTGTAACTTTGAACAGTCACTAAATGAACTGTTGTAAGTCAAGGACTACCTGTATCTTCATTACCATTAAACCAATTTTGAAGTTTGTTCAATAATCTGATTTATTCCAAACCTAATTAATGATTGTTTCTCATTCAGTTGCCTAATTATAGTTAATTAAAGATCTCACACAGGACTGGGAAGCAAGGGAGATATGTAAGCAGGCATGTTTCTGATTCAATTGATTAGTCAAGATAAATTTGTTTAATATAGACTAGAGTTTAGGAGGTGGAGAATTATGAGATAAGAAGGAGTAGAATGCTTTGAGCACAAATGTCAGCAAAATGGTTTCTTGGCACTGCAAATAACGGCCAACAAATGGTTATATGATAGTAATATTTGAAATAGTAGGTCAGATGTTCCTTTCAATAAAAAAATGAGAGACTGGAAAATTAAGCAGTCACAAATGTGAAGTGGGTGGTTGTTCAAAATGAATAAACAAATAAGATTCTTTGGCATTGTACACTGCCCATTAAATAGGAGTATGTCAGATCACGCCAGGTGGCACTTACCATCAGTAGCATCTACCATCACTGTATGACAAATTGCTAGAAGGAGGAAGAATTGCTGAATTTCAGTTTCCTTCCCAGATTTAATTTTTTCAATCAGATATTGATCATAAAAATTAAGTTTTCCATCTGCATACATATTCCAGCTTAAATCAACTTGCTAAAAAATATAAGAAGACAACATAGTAATTATAGGCATTATTTTAAATAATGACCAATCGAATTGCCTAACAGAGCACCCATGGCACCGATCTTCCCATGTGCACGCTATAATACCAAATGATAACCTGAACTATCTTTACTTCCCAGAATTTTCTTGACTTTCAGTGCTAATGGCACTTTCAAAAAATAAAAATATTAAGGCGCTGATATCCACCACTGCCTTAAAGGTAATGCCCATCTTCCCATAATGAAATACAGGGGGGGGGGAAACCCTGAGATAATAATACAGGTAGACCTCAATTTACGACCACAATTGAGCCCGAAATGTCTGTTGCTAAAAAAGACAGTTGTTATGTGAGTTTTGCTCCATTTTATGACCTTTCTTGCCACCATTGTTAAGTGAATCACTGCAGTTGTTTAGTTAGTAACACAATTGTTAAGTGATTCTGGCTTCCCAATTGACTTTGCTTGTCAGAAGATCGCAAAAGGTGATCACATGATCCTGGGACACTGGAACTATCGTAAATGGTTTACAAGTGGTCAAGTTTTGATCATGTGACCATAGGGATGTTGCAATGGTCGTAATTTGAAAAACAGTAATAAGTCACTTTTTTCAGTGCTGTTCTAACTTTGGACAGTCATGAAACAAATTATTGCAAATTGAAGACTACCTGTGTTGTAAGAGACTAGAAAGAACTTCTGGGAAAAATACCCCTTGACAGCCATTTGGTTCACAAGGCTACAACCTCTTCTTAAAATTCCTGCTGGGATTATCAGCCACAAATGACTGAGGAGTCCGAGCTAATTAATTTACATCTGAAGTAAAACAAAAGCTGTTCCTCCTATACCGAGATTTATTAACTGGGAGTCATCAATAATCCACCAATGGAAAAATATGCACTGGTTCAACTTTGCCATATGATAGCACATTTTAAAATTTGCCATGTTCAATCCCATAAACTACTTATTGCAGGTAGCTAAATCATTATTATTATTATGTCCATCATCTATAGCTTCCTCGAATCCTTATAAATAATTTTTGTCAGGGCTAATTAGATGGTCCATCAAATTTGTATCACTTTATTTCCAATTTTATTTACAGTCATTTTAAGCACCTGTTGGCCTGACACCAGATGCAAGATGAGACAAACTGATTTTTCCCCCATTTTCTCACCCTTTTCTAACCACCTTTTTCTGCCTTTTTACAACCATCCTCTACTCTCCTTTAGATACTTCCACTGGCTCCAAAAAGGAGTGAACTTTGAGAAGAAAAGGGGAAAGACAGAGAGACGAGGTTTCCTTCATCTCTTGCATGATGAATTCAATTCAGATTAATTCATCCAGTGCTTAAATTCAATGCAAGTAAATAAGGAAACCAACCAAGGTGATATATATTTCAAGTATTATCTAGTTTGTCTCTGGGATTATAAACATTGGCTCACAGACAACGGATCACCATTCACTACCCATGGCTCAAAAAGTCACCTGCTCCCATGCGGTCCATGGTCTACCCACTTAGAAACAGCATAAGCTTGTCCCTCTCCTTGATGTTGTAAGAGACATATGCAGGAGACAGACACTCTCTCCTGGAATTCTGCAGAGTCTCTTTGGATAGTGAGAAGGGTGGCATATAAATTTCATAATTAACTAAATAAAAGTAAAATAAAAAATAGACAAATTGTTTTATATTGAAAATTATTTACCTCTAGATTATTATGTTCGTGGCCTGTTTTATCCCTGCAGTTTCCTGAAAAGCAATATAAAATATCAACTATGGTGCAAGCACTATCTTGATTTACCACAAGAACCTATCTCCTTCAACCATCTGCTTTTAAGAATACCGGCGTAGGAAGTCAGAAATGCATAGAAACAGACCCTGATGGGAATTTGCACAGCTGAGGCAAGATTATCAACAATTTCATCTTCCAGCTACAGCTCCATGTAGACATAACCAAAAATATCTGGTAGATTGACCTAATCTTCTGCTGAGGGTTTCCAGGAGAAAGGGAAATCCTTGTTTGCACAGTTACCATCTGGTCTTGCCACACTGTAAATCATTACATTCATTTGCCTAATGTTTTATTACAGTCACTGAAGCCTACTTTATCTTTGTGGTAGGCAATCTTGTAAGTTAATTATACCAACCAGTGAAGGAATAGTTCATGGAGTCGTAGAGGTGGGGAGAGCTATTGGGGTCTTTGAATTTTCCCTTTCTGCTTATTGCAGAAATCCAAATATAAGCATCCTACATTGATGCTTCCACTTGAACACTCAACAGTCCAACAAACAGGAACCCACTGCCTTTTCCCTAACATTCATTTGGAATCTGTCTTCTATTCCATATTATGTATTTTGGAGCAAGGGAGAACTCTTCTATGTGACATCTTTTCAGTGCAGCTATATCTGTCCACTGTAGTCTTTTATCACAGCTAACCATAAATAACTCCTTCAATTCCTCTTTATAGATCTTGCTTTCTAATGCCTGAACAATTCTGCTGTTCTTTTTGGAACCTATTCTCATTTGCTGAATACTGCTTGAGATGTAGGCCCTCAATCTGGACACAGACCTTAAGTTGGGTTTTGACCGAAGCCAAGCAGAGGGAAATGTATAATTTAGAAATTATAATTTTGTGGATTTTATTCTAAAACTACATTTGCCCTTTTTGCAATCACATCATACTTCTGGCTCATATTTAATTCGAATCAACTACTGCAATAATTTTTTCAGAAGTATTAATTAACTAGATGTCACATATCCCATACCTGCTCATTTGATTTTCTTTTCTAAGTGAAGAACTTTGCATTTGTCTGTTCAATTTCATACTGTTACTTTCAGCCTATTTCTCCAACAACTTCTCCAACCTTGTTTGGAATTTCTACCTTGAAGGAAATTAGCTATTTCCCCCCATTTTCTTTTATCATGTACAAATCTGAGAAGCATCACCTCCATCCTTATCAACCAAATCATTAATAAAAATATTGAAGACTGGGGGACTTATCCTTGTGGCATCCCGCTTAATCCTCAGATCTTCTTAATCTGATTAGGAACATTTGGTGAGCATACTTTCAGTATGATGTTCATATCAATGAATTATTCAGTTTTTTTCTCCATGCCACGAATGTCTTGTAATCAATTTCATGTGTAATAAAAACTAGATTTACCATAAGTTTTTCCATTTATGCTACATTTTTTGAAGGTCATGATATTCTGTGTCAGCGTGCCTGTCTTGTCTGAGAAGACGTAATGGATCTGTCCCAACTGTTCATTCAAAGTGGTAGTTCTTGCTTTTGCAGCTGTATCCTTCTCTGGATAATACATCTGCAAGTCCCAGTTAATAAAATAACTTTGGCCCAGACGGATCACTTCAACACTATGAGTAAGAAAAAGCAAAGATTACCCAGTTTTCCCAAACTTCAGTGCACAAGAGACTTTTAACAAGAATTACACAGTACTACAGAAGCACTGTGGAATGACCAATGACTCAAGAAACGTCTGAAGATGTCATTGAAAACTATAGAATTAGGTGAAAACTATAGAATTATATTGAAGCATTTTTATATGTAAACCAATTTGGATTTTTAAAACTGCCCAATTCCTGAGAGAGGGAGAGTTTCCCTTCACCAAATATGTACATTATATGTAGAGAAGCTCAACAGCCATCTGTCAATGATCTGGAGTCCTGCACTGAGTAAATAAGAATGTGTATCAACAATCCACTTTCCAACTCTTATGATTCCATAAATGCTAAGGAATATTGTCTGGTATTCCAAATTCAAAACAATTTTTAATCAGAATATCCATTTCTTAGCAATATCAAAAACGCTTAGACTTATATACTGCTTCATAGTGCTTTACAGCTCCCTCTAACCATTTTACAGAGTCAGAGTCAGCATATTGCCCTCAACAATCTGGATCTTCATTTTACCAATCTTGGAAGGATGGAAGGCTGAGTCAACCTTGAGCTGGTCAGATCTAAGTCCTGGTAATGAGCAAAGGTAGCCTGCAATACTGCATTCTAACCACTGCACTTCCATGGCTCTTATATTAGGTATTTACAAACCTGCCAATTACTATATCCCTAATCAAAGAAGATTAGATCTTCCTTAGCTTAGCATCTTGTACAATCCCAGTCAGGATGTCAACCATTCCATAGTCCTGGTTAAAGGATAAGATCTACCTCCATTGATCAACATATCAATGCTGAGATAGTTTTGTCCAGCCAGTTAACCTATAATACTGTATTAAGACTCAGGACCAACTCCAATGACATAGGATAATATATTCCCTTGTCCTGGATGAAGGAGAGTGAAATGACATTTTTGTGTTTAGAATGTTTAATCCCTACTGTTCTTCTTGGGGTCATATTTTGTGGGAGAAACAAGTTATAAAGAATTTTTGTGGGATGAAACTACAATCTCCATGTTTCACTTTAAAAAAAAAAAAAGAATCGTTGAAATAAATAAACAGATAGTTTCGTGCATTTATTATTATTATTATTATATCCATGAACACTTTTGGTCCCCAGATTTGTTTAAAGACATTTTTATACAAGATGAAGTCCAGTCACTTGACCAGAGAAAAAGATAGAAGTCACCTGAGTTGGTAGAGGGCATTCTCAAAGACTAGAAATGATGGTGGGGAGAATATCACCACTTTGCCATAAAATAACTGGGTATTTTATGACAGCCCATGCCTTCCCAGCAGTCATGTCATAGCATGTTCTCCAAACATGAATCTGTTTACTGGCCCTCAAAAGATTGGGAACCCCTGGCCTATTAGAACAACTTCAAGCTTATACACAAATCATAATGAAGGTTCTTGTCTTTCTTACCTCACATAGAGGGATATGGGAACCATGGTGTTCAGCACAATGATGTAGCCCCAAAAGTTAAGGAAGCCGCGGTATGCAGGGGAATTATCTTTACCATCATAGAGATACCAAGAAGAATTGCCAATTTGTTGTTCCCAGTAAGTGTGTCCAATAGCCAGACCGGCAGACACCAGGATGAGTAATACGAAAATCTGAAATGTAAACACAACCAAAACCATGTTTATGAAATAATATTTTATCCCCTAGATATCATGAAGAATCTCCGATTCACACACTGGCACTTGAAGAGGGGAGAAAAACAGATCTGGTCACTGCTGTTGTAAATGAGTTTAGAATATGTTGTCCTAAAAAGAGACTTAGCACATCTAATGATATGGGCAACTTACTAGACTGAACTAATATCAAAAATAAATGTGTGACCACCCTGTACATTCTCTGTTAATATGAATCCAAACAATAAGATCTGAAATTGCATAGTACAATGCACACAATAAATAATTAGATGTATTTTTTTTAAATTTCCATAATCTTGACAGTGGCTTTCCATGACTCACTATTCAAATTCCATAAGAAACTACTGAAGGAGTTGGCTATGCTTAGCTTGAAGAGGTAAGTCTAAAGCAGTGGTTCTCAACCTTTTTAATGCCGCGACCCCAACCGGTCGTAAGTCGAGGACTAAACCGGTTGTAAGTCGAGGACTAAACCGGTTGTAAGTCGAGGACTAAACCGGTCGTAAGTCGAGGACTACCCAACCGGTCGTAAGTCGAGGACTTTCCCTGCCTGGGAGCGCCGCGCATGCGTGGTTCCGCCCCCTGCGCCAGCCGAGGCGTAGCTGGCAAGCGGCAGAGACGGAGCAGGCCGACCACCAGCTGGCCCAGCTCAAGGGAGGTAAGGCACCTGCCGGAAAAGGGAAAAAAAATGGCGGACAGCCTTGCTTGGCGACCCCCGTGAAATGGTCGATCGACCCCAAATGGGGTCGCGACCCATAGGTTGAGAACCGCTGGTCTAAAGGTAACTGATAATCTTTCAACAAGTGAAGTAGGTTGTCACAAAAGACAAAGAATGGAGCCAATTTGTATTGCTACAGGTGGCAAGACAAGGATTAGGAAGAACTTCATAATATCAAGAACGGTTTGTCCTCTTTTGGGAGTAGCTGGCTGTCTCCTTTGCTGTTTGCATTTAAGAAGAGGTATTATGCCGAAGATATAGATTTTATTTTATTTCATTTGCTTTTCTTACTAAATAGGCTGCTGATAAGGATAGTCCTCCCTTAATGACCAGTCACTTAGCAACTATTCAAAGTTATGAGCCCCTCCATAAGGTACTTACAACCTAGTTATGAAGTTCTGAAGACCAAACAATGCCCCCCATGATTGCAGTTTGAGTGCTTGGAAACCAGCTCATTTTTAGGGCTGCTTGCAGGGTCACATGAATGTGATTTTTAGTATTTTTTTGCCAGTTTCCGGCATTTACTTCCAGTTTGGGGCAAAAACACATCCATTAGATTAAATGGAATTGTTTATTGATCGTAGAATTTATGTAGTGACCACTGCTAAAAAGGTCATAAAATCAGGTGTGATAATATGGTGGCCTGCTTAACGACTGATGGGACTTACAACCATAATTCCAAGCCCAAATATTGTTGTAAGTCGAGGACTACCTGTATTGATGCATTCAAGACCCTTCCTCCCAAATATGGATCCTGCACTCTGTTTGTTAGTACTGGTTGCAAGGAAACCAGAAGCTTTCTTTCCTGATACCATAATAAATGTTTGACCTTAACAGATTAGCAAACAGTTTTGTGCTACAGCTTTTGTTAACTCTAACTAAATACCAAGGAGGAAACGTAAACTGAAATATCTTACCGTGTACACCATATAATTCATAAGAGAGTCAATTTTGGTCCTTTTAAACCTTGTTTTCCCACTGTTCTTCATTATTTTTGTGTCGGCCCCTAAAATCACATTAAAAACTACAATGTAAATGTCATTAATTTTCAGACACATATTTTATATATATATATATATATATCCCTCACTTCTAACAACAAGGAGGATGGGAGAAAGCGGATTGGAGCTACGATCACTCGGTCATGGGCAAGAAATAGGGAAATACCCACACCAGTAGAGGATAATCCCCAAGAGATTGACATACGGACATCAAACCAAAGAAAGGGGAGTGCAACGGTGATTAGGCTAAATACCTTAACAAACGGCAATAAACATAGAGAGGAGAGGTGCGAAGGGGAGGGGGGACAACAGCATTGTGTATTAGAACAGCCTGGAGGGAGCAGAAAAGAAAACAAGGCTAATAGACAAGANAAAATAACTGGGTATTTTATGACAGCCCATGCCTTCCCAGCAGTCATGTCATAGCATGTTCTCCAAACATGAATCTGTTTACTGGCCCTCAAAAGATTGGGAACCCCTGGCCTATTAGAACAACTTCAAGCTTATACACAAATCATAATGAAGGTTCTTGTCTTTCTTACCTCACATAGAGGGATATGGGAACCATGGTATTCAGCACAATGATGTAGCCCCAAAAGTTAAGGAAGCCGCGGTATGCAGGGGAATTATCTTTACCATCATAGAGATACCAAGAAGAATTGCCAATTTGTTGTTCCCAGTAAGTGTGTCCAATAGCCAGACCGGCAGACACCAGGATGAGTAATACGAAAATCTGAAATGTAAATACAAACCAAAACCATGCTTATAAAATAATATTTTATCCCCTAGAATATTACAAAGAATCTCAGATTCACACACTGGCGCTTGAAGAGGGGAGAAAAACAGATCTGGTCACTGCTGTTGTAAATGAGTTTAGAATATGTTGTCCTAAAAAGAGACTTAGCACATCTAATGATATGGGCAACTTACTAGACTGAACTAATATCAAAAATAAATGTGTGACCACCTTGTACATTCTCTGTTAATATGAATCCAAACAATAAGATCTGAAATTGCATAGTACAATGCACACAATAAATAATTAGATGTGTTTTTTTTAAATTTCCATAATCTTAACAGTGGCTTTCCATGACTCACTATTCAAATTCTATAAGAAACTACTGAAGGAGTTGGCTATGCTTAGCTTGAAGAGGTAAGTCTAAAGCAGTGGTTCTCAACCTTTTTAATGCCGCGACCCCAACCGGTCGTACGTCGAGGACTAAACCGGTCGTAAGTCGAGGACTAAACCGGTCGTAAGTCGAGGACTAAACTGGTCGTAAGTCGAGGACTACCCAACCGGTCGTAAGTCGAGGACTTTCCCTGCCCGGGAGCGCCACGCATGCGTGGTTCCGCCCCCTGTGCCAGCCGAGGCGTAGCTGGCAAGCGGCAGAGACGGAGCAGGAAGACCACCAGCTGGCCCAGCTCAAGGGAGGTAAGGCACCCGCCGGAAAAGGGGAAAAAAATGGCGGACAGCCTTGCTTGGCGACCTCCGTGAAATGGTCGATCGACCCCAAATGGGGTCGCGACCCATAGGTTGAGAACCGCTGGTCTAAAGGTAACCGATAATAATCTGATAATAATCTTTCAACAAGTGAAGTAGGTTGTCACAAAAGACAAAGAACGGAGCCAATTTGTATTGCTGCAGGTGGCAAGACAAGGATTAGGAAGAACTTCATAATATCAAGAACGGTTTGTCCTCTTTTGGGAGTAGCTGGCTGTCTCCTTTGCTGTTTGCATTTAAGAAGAGGTATTATGCCGAAGATATAGATTTTATTTTATTTCATTTGCTTTTCTTACTAAATAGGCTGCTGATAAGGAGATATACAGATAGTCCTCCCTTAATGACCAGTCACTTAGCAACTATTCAAAGTTATGAGCCCCTCCATAAGGTACTTACAACCTAGTTATGAAGTTCTGAAGACCAAACAATGCCCCCCATGATTGCAGTTTGAGTGCTTGGAAACCAGCTCATTTTTAGGGCTGCTTGCAGGGTCACATGAATGTGATTTTTAGTATTTTTTTTGCCAGTTTCCGGCATTTACTTCCAGTTTGGGGCAAAAACACATCCATTAGATTAAATGGAATTGTTTATTGATCGTAGAATTTATGTAGTGACCACTGCTAAAAAGGTCATAAAATCAGGTGTGATAATATGGTGGCCTGCTTAATGACTGATGGGACTTACAACCATAATTCCAAGCCCAAATATTGTTGTAAGTCGAGGACTACCTGTATTGATGCATTGAAGACACTTCCTCCCAAATATGGATCCTGCATTCTGTTTGTTAGTACTGGTTGCAAGGAAACCAGAAGCTTTCTTTCCTGATACCATAATAAATGTTTGACCTTAACAGATTAGCAAACAATTTTGTGCTACAGCTTTTGTTAACTCTAACTAAATACCAAGGAGGAAAAGTAAACTGAAATATCTTACCGTGTACACCATATAATTCATAAGAGAGTCAATTTTGGTCCTTTTAAACCTTGTTTTCCCACTGTTCTTCATTATTTTTGTGTCGGCCCCTAAAATCACATTAAAAACTACAATGTAAATGTCATTAATTTTCAGACACATATTTTATATATATATATATATATATATATATATCCAAATTTCTTTTTTTCTGACAAAGAGTAAAGAATTAAATTGGGAGACTAAGATGGACCATTTCTGGCTTTTTTTGCCTTCATCAGTTAGCCATACCCTTTATGGGATTCGAACCTGGGCAGTTATACATACTAGTCAGTGATTTAGTCACTGAGCCACAGGTTCTCTTCCCCTCTTTTGCCAGCAGAGTCAAGGGAGTAATGTATGTATAACTGCCCAGGTTCAAATCCCATAAAGGGTATGGCTAACTGATGAAGGCAAAAAAAGCCAGAAATGGTCCATCTTAGTCTCCCAATTTAATTCTTTACTCTTTGTCAGAAAAAAAGAAATTTGGATATAAAAATATTTCGCAGTTGCGACTTGAGCCTGCTCTATGCCCCTAGTTGGGGGCGGCAAGGCAAGAGATATTGTAAAAAGAGTAAACTATATATGAGTCTTTGGTCATTCGGGTTTTCTCCCGTGTAAGATTAGAAGTGTCATAGCGACGTTTCGATGAAATCACATTCATCATCATCAGGCTTGTGCTTTTAGCTTTGTGCTTCTCAGAGTAATGTGAAATGTCTGCTGTTTCTTTCTTTTATATATATAGTTTGGTGCACCCTGTCGGCCCAAATATGTCTGGTTGAAAAAAAAAAGTGAGAAAGAGCCTGTGGCCTAGAGGTTAATACATCTGCCTAACATGCAGACAGCCCAGGTTCAAATCTCAGAAGGGTATGTCTGGTTGAAAAGAACTAAAAAGTTCGAAATGGCTATTCCAGTTCTCCCTTAATTCTTTGTTAGCAATCCAAATTTTGACACACACACACACACACACACACACACACACATATATATTCTTAGATGCATAATAAAAATATTTTGCCAATTTATTACATAATAAAATATTTTGGCAATTTATTAATATGTTGCATTACTTATCATAGACTTAACAGGTCAAAAACTCTATTGAATATACATTTGCGAAAACAAACTATCTCTTTTTATATCAAAAAGCCGGCAAGTGATATTTCATTCATTACATAGATACCTGCAAATATGACAAGTCCATGACATACTTCCGTGTTCCGGATTTTACAACCACGCAACAAAATTTTATCAGCGTCCAAAGCATATCTCTTTCCTCGCCATATCATGGTCCCTGTAAATTTATCTAGACGATTGTTGGGCTCTTCGCACTCTACTAGGCCTAGATGTTTATTAAAAAGAACAGCAGGAGGAAAGAAAAGATTCAGGATCACAACATTGTATTTAAATATTTTCATGGCAGATTGCTTTACGGCAGGTGAACAGTAGTTGGCATGCAATGCAAGTAATCCTTGTTTAGCTACCACAGTTGGGACTGGCAATTTAGCCATTATGCGAAGCGATTGCTAAGTGAAACTGTGACTTTACTTATTTCAACTTTTCCAAGAAGGCTGTAAATGTGAGGATTGATCAAAATTACTTTTTCATCATTTCAAGACTGTCACTAAACAAAATCTGCCTGTACTTCACACGTAGCAGGAGATTACAGATGCTACTCCTTTTCTTGACGCATTTTAGATACAACTTTAGAAGGCCTCTGGAAAAGGGTGGATCATGCATGCAAAATCTAAAGAATCCTAGTTAAAATCTGTATTTTGCACAATCTATTTGTATGAACAGAACCAAGGTCTTATATATCACTTTGGAAACAGAAGATCACGGTCAGAATGACAAATAAATTTATTACTGTAATTACCTTCTGCTACTAAAGGCTTTGTATTTCTGAGCTTTCTATCCTCATGGTAGGAAAAGGGAGAAAAAGACGGAAGTACAGTAAAGCATTTTTCTTTTAGGAGCCAAACTGGAAGGGTGCACCTGAGAATATCTGTCTTTCAGGGCACAGTAACGAGGAACCAACAGGGAATCTTTCCTTGTGATCTTTATTTTAATGGAGAAGCTGAGCAGTTACACAGAAAAGAATCAATATGAGCTTTATGTGATGGAAAAATGTTTCAAACTTAATGGCTTCTACTAAGAAATAAAAGAGAACAGCAGGTCCTAATGTTAATGGGATTTTCTTGATTACCGAGCTTGTTAAAATGTGTTTTGGTATATATGCGGGGGAAAAATCCTTGTCTTAAAGACTGGATAAAAATCTTTGGGTTTGATGGAAGATAAATAATTAAAGATAATTTAGAGATTAAAAAGGGAAAGTATGCTTGAACAAACCATCAAATACTGCAAGTGCACTTTCTTCTTGAAGGCACCTGTCTGTTACTTCCAGTGACATTTTGAACTTTAAGTTGGTTTCACTAGCAGAGAGAGAAAGAGAAAAAAACCCCATAAGTTGCAGTGATAGAATAAGATAAATGAAGGATTTCAGTTCTTTTTTTAAGTTTGCTTAAGATTCCGCATTTATTTATTTTTGATTACATTTTATCTTTCCTATTTTCTAGTTATTTTATTTAAAATATAGATAAAGCAACAGTGGCAAAATCTATAGGACTTTCCTGCATGATATCTCAAAATGAATTGTATTCCAAATTCTAGACGGGCCCAATGGTCAAGTAATTACACAGTAGATTAAAAGCTGTTCTACTTCTTTATCCATTAAATCTCATTAACAGAATGCATTATGTTAACAAAGTAGAGAAGTAAGTTGCATAGGATGATTAGAGATATCATATGGTGGTTCATAGTCATTTGGGGGAATTGCTACGGAAAACAAAACAAAAACAGTTTCTTTAAAACAAACTTGCTGCATAGACTTAATGAAAATTGGTTTTGGATGAGAATGGGAACTACTGTATGTAGAGCCAGCATATAAAATTTTCCTTTTTTTGTCATTGTATCACAGTGGGAAATGGCTGCTTGTAGCTGTTTGTGTCACCTTGTTCATGTTATTTGTGCGGTGATTATATAGCAGAACTAATACTATTGAACCAGAGAGCAACAGCTAGCCAAACAAACTGAAACACAAGAGTGATAAATGTCTTCTTTAAAAGAAGAAGTTATAAGCAGTAGCCTCACCATAATTTACAGAAAAAAATACAATTTATACATTTTAACAGCTTGGTCATGCTACATTTCTCTCACTTATGTTTTATATCCTTCAAACAGAATTAGTTGTGTAGTTCTTAAAAGCAAGATCTATGTATATTCCCAATAATAAACCGTAATGTACAAACAATATACAGTACTATTTTAACAACAATACTTCAGGTTTACTTCCTTCTTGTTCTATATATGCAAATATAAAATGTTAAAATATAATATTTTAATGTCCCCTAAAATTCCCTCTGTAAGAATGTAAATCTGTTGTTAAGACAACACATAAGCAATGTTTTGGGCATGTCTGGAGAATGAAAGTGAGAATAAACAGACTTACCCATCTAATTCAGCTGTTTCTACATAACAAAGGCTGTTGGGCTCTGAACTGGACAACAATAAAATATCCGCCTAGTTAAATAAACAAAATGAATTAAATGTACATAACAGTGACATTAAATTTTCAGTGTAAATTTATACACATGCAAAGCTTTTGTACTTACAGGAACAAATGCATTTTTCCCCAAACGGATGATATCACCAACTGCAATGTCTTTCCATTTTGCGTTCTGAAAACTAAGTAGCAAGATATTTACACACAGAAACATGTACATTATAAACATAGAAATGAAATTATAATGTAATAATTATTACAGTAAAGCCTCTGGCATTTTGGTCCAAAAATGTATAGAACAATAATACAAACTTCCCAATAAAAACTTTTAAATATTTAGCATGCATACTGAACACTGTATTTATGATTCAGGGGATAACAATATTTTTCAAGAAGTGTGAAAAGAAATAATTATAGTTTATTATTTCTAAATTTCATGTTCTCTTTCTCATTTAAATGTCGACCTCCATCTTATTATAGATAGAAGGTTAAAACATTTGGGCTTACATACCCCTAAATCTGCAGGATTACAGATACTGATTAGAAATGTGTAAATTTGATTTTTCTTATGAATGAAGGCAAATATATGTGTCACAGGATAATATTGCAAGATCCAATCTGGGTTGGTCACTGGGACCAGAGATTTACTCTTCCCAACTTCCAGAGTCATGCTCTCTACTGGAATGTCTATGGAGATTCTCAGTCATCCAGATCATAGTTATCCCAAATATCCTTTTTCACGAGGCAACTGGACTTTCTTGTTTTTCTTTGAACATGTTTCACTTCTTCTTGGATCAGAAGTGAAGCATCTTCAAAGAAAGACAAGAAAGTCCAGTTGCCTCATGAAAAAGCATCTTTGGGATCTCTACCGGAATATGTGCTTTGGGCTATTCTGTGAGTCATACTTATGTGGTGCCTTCCTATTGGCTGATTGGTATGTTGATGGCTGATGATTGGCTGTTGTTACCTTGTGCTGACAGCCCTCAGCTCCTAAGTATTTGATAAGCTGGTGGTAAACCAATACTCCTGTTAACTGACAAGGGGTCCATTTCCCAGACTTCATGACTGACCACCAGTTTATCAAGTTCTTAGGAGCTGAGGGCTTGGCCAGTCAATTGCCAGTCTTCAACACACCAATCAACCAATAAGAAGGCACCACTAAATATGACTCACAGAATAGCCCGAAGCACGTATTCCAGTAGAGAGAAGTTCCCTGAAGATGGGCTCCAGCATGAATAAATCTCTGGGCCCAGATAGATTTTTCTTCCTCGTTTTATTATTCCAAAATTAGAATCATTCAGCTATGTAACATTCAGGGGAATTGTTTACTTAGTTATTTGTTATGCACATGGCTGAAATTTATCAAATGACTGACGCAAACTAACCGCTAGGTAAACATTAGACTTGTACAAACTGTATTCAAGTCAGATTATCAGTTCAATTCAAACTAAGCTGATCTGATTCAAGACTTCAATTTGAAACACTGAGCCAGTCTGAGCCAATTTGAAGCAATCTTCTGATTTCAGAAATGGGATTCAATTCAGAAATTTGCTTGAATCGAAGAATCAAATATTTGCATGATAGCCA